TGACTTGGTCTCTGCCAAGTCCCATGTTTTTTGTCCTTGGGAGAAGAGAAGGCGCACCCATTGGCAAAACAAGGAGACATGACTGGAGCAAATCCTAAGGAGAGACCTTCACCTAACCTCATCCCCCTCGAAGTCTCAGATCAACTCCCATGGAACTGCAGTGAGTTGAAAGGAAAAGGGGCCAATTCGGAAGGATGCTGGAAGGGGAGGAGGAAGTACGTAAAACGGAACACGACAATATCAGGGTCAAGAAGATTTAGGGTTTCTAGAACATCCAACTGTGTTTCAACATATGGGGAAAAAGTCCCGATGGTAGGACCTGAACAACAGAGTTACAGAGATGGTGGGTTCTCCATCTCCGGAGGCTTTTAAGAGGTTGGGCAGCCGACTCTCAAAAAGTGTGATGTCGATACTGCAGAGGGCAGGACCGGATGACTTTATGGTCCCGTCCAACTCTGCAATTTTACGATTCAATAAGAATACTGTGCTGAACAGGAGAAACCCTAATAATGGCTAGAGAGGGATTTTGAAGACAAGGGCTCCATGCAGCTGAGAACCGCCCAACCTTTCCGACCGGCCAGGTGCCATGCTAGGCTCTCCAAAAGTGACTCTTCTGCAAACCCTCCAGCCAGCCTCTCCCCCAGATCGCTCTACACTTTTCGAAAACGGCAATCTCCTTTTTTCAAACGCCTGCTTAGAAACAATAAGCTTTTTTTTTTAACACGGCGACATACCGCTCAGAAAGCAATTTGAGACAATTGCATCGGCGTTTTGGAGCCGGGGCACCGTTTCCAAAAACATCCCTCCCCCGTGCACTGGAAATATGGGAGTGGGGGGGAGAAGACGGGGTGCTTTTGAACCCAGTTTGGATTTCTGCTGCAAGGGGGGGGGAAGAGAACTCCCAATACGTGATTGGGGAGGAGACTTAAACAGCCCAGGGCGCCAAAACGGAATGAGAAATGGAGACGGGGTTGTAATTCAGCAGCCCCCTTGTCCGAAAACATCCGCGTGAGCGGTTACACTGCGAAGGACCCCCGGGCCTTCCCGGGATCTTCTCCTCTCTCTCTGCCTTCCGCTTCTCCCTGGGACATTGGTCGGCTTGTGATCCTAATTGAATTTAATTGTCTCCCGGATGTTCTGCTAACCCTCTTCCCCAGTCCCTTGAAAGAAGGCCACGCGGATAATGCAAATTCTCGCCAGGCCTGTGCAACACATATCTGCGGGCATGTTTCATCCACCTCTTTCGGAAAGAGCAGCAATTAATTTTTTACAAGCTAATCATTCCCTCCAGGCAGATTGTCAGCAGAGGACCTGTCATCTCCCATCAATAATGGAACAAACGCGGCTTTGCCCAAAGTTCCCCCGCCCGCCCGCCCGTCTCCTGCATTATTCAATTCTGTAGCATCAAACCTTGGATAGCAATCCTTTCACTGATGTCCTTTGAAATTACCTGGCAAAGGGAGTTGTGGGGACGGGGGTGGGTGGGAGGGAGGGAGGGAGGGAGGGAGGGAAGCGATCAGCTCCCTGATTTACAAGCGATGGCTTAGGGGTTTGTCTGTCTTCAGATCTTCTGATGCGGCGGCGGAACAAATCAACCCGTGGAACCTGCACAAGAGAATTTCAGACGGGAGGCAGGAGAGGAAATTAATCTGGGGGGGGGGAGGTAGTTGACAAATGTCGGAGGGAAACCGAGAGCCTCCTTCGGCACGGCTCGCGGCAAGGATGCTGGGACTTGTAGTTTGGCCACTCACGTCGGAGAAGAGGAATAAATCTTGCCGCGAAGGGGTCCGCGGTGCACGAAAGGGACGGTGTGTCTGAGCCGGAAAGCAGAGACATTTATCAGATCCCCTTTTTCTTAAGAAAAATTTGCCTCTCCTCCCTCCGGGGCAGAGACGGTGAGCCTCAGAGCCCGCGGGGAGACCGCGATCGATCGGACTCCTCTGCTGGGGAGCTGCGTGACTCCGGTTGGCAAAGATTAAGCCCCTTTCTCCAGACCTGCTCAGGTGCCTTGGGAAACAGTTCACAAATGCCACTGCAGCCTTAATGTCCTCATTTCCATGGTTCCAGGCTAAAATTGCCACATTTGCATTTAAATGGAGGAGAGGGAGTC